TATATAGTGCGTCTCTATGGTTGCTTGCTACTGCCGTACTACTGGAATTATTGTTATTAGCGTTTAGCAGCCAGCCATAGAGATGTATAATAGCCATAGAGTTACGAAGTTTCGCTTAACTACGATATAACTGCGTGAATGAAGGAATGCTATTAAAAATACATTTTTTTTTTAACAAAATGTATTTTTAATAACCATAAACAACATTCTACGACTCGCGCTGCTGCTTGATTGTGTGTGTGTGTGTGTCTGTGTGTATAATAAAAATAATCATTGGTATTGTGATAATTATGATTGTATGCACGTTATGCGGATCGAAAATTTGCACCACTAAAGACGGAATTCGAAAGGTATTCCTTGGAGGATATTATCAGGTTCTCAACAGATCACTAAGCGAATATATATTTTATTACATTTGCGCATATGAATCACGATGATCAACAGTTTGATTTTTAGTTACTCCGCAGCTCTATTCGATTATTACGTTTAGGGTGTCCTACTCAGTGCTTAAAAATGTTGAATGTATCGATACCCTATTCAACAGGTTATAATCGATTTACAACTGTAACAAATCAAGTATGACTTTCGCACGTCGGACCGAAACAGGTTTTTACGTGTGGCAATCCATGCCTATTGGTCAGGTTCCATATTGTTACATTTTGCGTTTCGACCGACCACAAAGTGACCAGTACTAAGTAGTAGTTATTACATGTGACCTTTTACGTCTTCTATTTTACCAAATGTACACCACATTGCCTAATAACTGTCCGAAACTAACAGTCGCGGTTAGCTGGTGTTCCTGTGTATTTACTGTGTAAAAGCATATACGATACGGCCTAGGATCACTCGATAATTTAACGAGTAGAGAGGCCACAAGGTTATGCCTATAGGACATTCGGGCTGGCTAAATTGAGGCACAGTTTGGTTAGCGGTTTGTTTAAGCCAATAGGCCTGCGTTTATCCGTTATTTCTGCTATAGCAGACGAAACCCACTTCTCTATAGAACAAAATCATAAAATCATTGTACGAAAAAAAAGGGTTTGTGCTCCGAATATGAGCGAATTCAGCCACTGTTTTGGGGCTTTTGCTTTAAATGAACTACGACCGATATTTGCCGAAAATCGATGGTCTCTATTGTTGCTAGTTTACATGCCGCTTTCAAAAAAAAACGAAAAATACAGAAAAAAAGACAAAATGGAAAATTCACATTGGAGGCTCAATTGGAGAAATTCACGTTGGAGAAGACGGGTCGAAGATACCAACTGCGTAAAAGCCATTATAAATTATTCTGGAGTTGCGACACAAAAATCAGCAGCTGTTTTCAAGAGAAAAGTGTTTACGGCAACTTAAGTAGTCCAGATAAGTCGTTAGTTAGTCGCTCTTAGATTTTTCGCGTCGACAACAGGCATCTTTTAAAATGAATCTAGTGGTTCAGACTCTAAATGGAAACGAATTATGCTCACGTTGAATAGACACGTCTGATAAGGTATCTCAGTTGACAAATGTAAAAAAAAGATATCCATCTTCATTTATTAAACACACATTATAAGTAAGCGATATTAACCTTATCCCAATATATTTCAAACACCTTGCAGAGGCGGGATGACTCCTATTAGTTGCATATCGTTAAAATTACACACGAAAGTTACGGTGTTTGGTTAGCAACTAGTTGTTAAAGACTCGCCGACGTTCATATCTGTCATTGTTGCAGATTATTTCTTCTTCGGAGGAGACCAGTCAATTTTGTTACTTCACACGCCAGCAAATGATTCCGCTATCATAGATGATCGCCTGCTTCTGTAATTAGATATACTATTTACAATAGAATCAATTTGAAAATAAATAGTCAGCCAAATAATAAAAATGTTAAAATGTATGTAGTCTTAAAGCTGGCCAGTCGATCGTCGCAGCGATATGGTCGTCTGCAACCTCGATGATTGCTTTATTGTGAAACGTTTAATATGAAGTAAAAATATGTTATTATAACCTGACATTATTTGTTTATCGTATCTTTTATAGGAAACGTAAAAAAGCTGACAGAGTTTCTAGAGCAAGGGAGATTGGTGAACCTGGACAAATTTTCCGTTCACACTTTGGCGTCGGTCCTTAAGAAGTTCCTTCGCAAGATACCTGGAGGAATTTTTGGATCAGATATTGAAAGCAGCTTATTAGAGGCTATCCAGGATGAGGCGCTGCCACTTGATGATAAACGCGATCAAATAGCACAAATAATTAGTAAGTATAAAACCAGACAAATCTTCAGATAACTCTGCTGTGGATATCATGCAGACTGCAGTTGGTATTACGGTATTACTAAATAAATTAGTTGTTACTGCGTTGACTCCAACAAAGTTAACATTTAATTTTAGGCTAGTTGTGATTCGACGACTACTTCAGATGTTACTTGGCAAGTGACCGTGAAAACGCGTAGATCGGTATGAAAACTGCCGTGAATACTTTGGTGAAGTACAATTTTGCTTAACGACCAAATACTTTGCTGTTAACATCTGCTCCATTCGCTACTTCAAGCATTATTTCGTATGAGTACGCATTGCGATGATAGGATTAATTGTCAATTTCTATTACTTCACTTCCATTGATGGCACTATCAACCTAAATTTGTTTTGAGAAGCTTATAGTTGTATAGATGAACGCTACCTTATTTAACTATCGAACAAAAATCGGCATAAACTGAACAGATCAGGTTATTACCCACAGCATAAGTGGGTGGAGGGGGGGGGGGGATCATTTAGGACGCAATGCGAATAGTCAATAAAAGAACTTAGGTTGCCATTTCGTGTATGTCTTACTCCTATCTTTTGCCAATATCCGCAATTAAAAACGATAATGACGGCAATGGCCGGCCGTTTTTATTTGCAAGTATTTAATCAATCATTTGTAATTATTTATTCAGTCATTTAATCTACAAATGTATTTGTCAACCCAGTCTGTGTGTGTGTGTATTTGCGAGTTTGATTTATATATTACGTTTGCTCTTATCACGCCTCTTTTTAGGCGATCTTCCTCCGCTGACACAACGCCTTCTCGTGTTGATCTGCGGAACGTTGCGCACTATTACGGCAAGCAGCGAAACAAACCGAATGAACGCTGAGGCCCTGGGCGTGAGCGTGGCGCCCTCGTTCTTTCGCTCATGTGATGGCATCAATAAAACAGCCAGAATGGAAGATATCGTCAAATTTAAGGTCAGTAAAATATGCGAGCTAATACGGTGATTGTTGGGCTGAAAGTCGAAAATTAAATGATTAGTGGTTAAAACGGCATTGGTGGAGCAAGCAGTAGCCATTAGGAGTGATGACCTGGTCATAAAATTGAAAAATTCAAGAAAAGTTCAAACAGAAGTAAATAGAATAGTGAGAGGGGAGCAAATATAGTGAAGTCGTATTATATAATACGTTAGGCTTTTATTCGTAGTAGGAATCCTGTGTGCTGCTTTTGCTTCATCTATATAATCATGTATTGTTTACAACCAAGTGCGAACATTACTAATCATGAAGTTTTGTTCATAAATCCAAACGACAAAATATTAATTACCCGATGATCTGTGCCATAAAAAATGTTTCAAGTTCTCAGGTCCGATACTGCCGTTAGGCGTTACTACAAAAAAGTTCAGGTATAGAACCTGACGGGCTCATCATAATCCGCACCGCGCTGAAATATTACAATATAGGTCAACGGAAACAAATATTACTCACGTTTTTGCGTTCTAATTTAGTTTTCACGTTGATCGACAATTGCATAATCGTTGACTACCGTAATATCATAATCGTAGGCTAAACGTTGAACTTCGACAACAACTCCGACTTGTGCATTTTTCATTTTTTCGCAAACCTTGTCATGATTTGCGCGTAAAGATAAAGACGTCTTCTCACAGCAAGTCTGACACTACATACACATTCATACGACATTTCGTCGGTTAGCGTTTCATTGCCATCCGCTAACCGATAAAAGCTAAAAGTAACAAGTCAAAAACGGCGCGAAAATAGTGTTGACGTGTTTTTCAAGATGGCATTCAAAGTTAGTGCAAATTCTGTGTGGACCGTACCTCGGTGCGAATTTCAACGCGTGGAATATGCATTTTTTAAAGAGCCAAAATCACGCAAAAACTGTGTGGCTTACTATCTTTGATGGTATATATAGATAATTCGGGCAAAAATCGAATATATATTTTTGCTGTCTGCACCTCATTATTTAAATGTCTATTAATAACTACATTTCTTCAGCTAAACGTTAGTCGGGTAGAACTGTTTTTGTAGACTAGAAATTTATTCGTAAATGCGTCGTCTTGTCCTACGCATAACCTGTACTTTTCATTACCAAATGCGACGCATTCAAGTCTATAGTCGACTGGCCTTGCTGTTAACAGCCATGCATCAGCAAAACAACTCGAGTGAAAGATATATACTATTAAGAACGATGCAAGAACTATTTTTTATCCTATCTTTGACTTGTCTATACATATCTAATATATTGTACGTGATCTGAGAGCTGAAAAAGCACTCAGCCCACCCCAACGAGCGATGGCTCGTACGCATCCTTGTCTCAACAACAGATACGCCGACGTCTGTTCACATCTATTCGTCTAGATACTCCTTAAGACATTTGCCTTTGCCTGCATCGTTATCTGTCATATTATCCTCGTCCCCCTCCCTTATTTACTGTCAGAGTCATATGGTATTCCTACAAAAAAAGTCATAGTCGTGAAAAAACTTGACTTACATAGACATAGACACGTTTAGAAAAAAGCTATTTTTACCATCCAGCATGACATCTCTGAAACAGTAGTCATTAGGATTCCGTCCATGGCTGCGGATGACGATGCTGGCAATTGTTGTCTTCATATGGTAACCTTCTTAGTGCTCTGTGATTATCTTTAGTTTTTACGAGATCGCCATTTAGCAGTTAGTTTGGCCCCTCTTTAACAAAGGCTCGTTAACAGAAAAATGTTACAGACTACACAGTACATTGAATATGCGTTGGATCTGAATCTGTATCGAAAAAAAAAAAACTTCATATTGCTCGGCAATAATTTTTAGCCGAAGTTGGCCGCTTTCGGTGAATCCTTCAGAGATATGGAACCGCTCATACAGATTCGACTGCTTGTCTGCATGCGGGCGTGTTTAGTATCAATTTGCACACCAGGTTGAAATCTAACCATTAGTTGCAATTAGCCATCTGTTTCTTTCTTTAGCATATATTTCTATGGCAGCATATATGGCAGCTTTATCAGTTACTCGTAGTCGAATGTACAAAGAACCGTGTCAACGTTGCTGTTATTGTGGTACGGTCACTGAAGGATGGCCCGTGCCTTCGATCGTCGTCTTTGTGGTTTGACAGCGATGTCGTCTCGTTGTGCTCTTCGTAACGTCTCACTTTCCGATGTTCGCTCGTCTGCTACGAATAAAATGTTGAAGTAATCATCTTCCCACAGCAGGTCGCAGCCGCTACTAACGGACAATCAACTGTTGCAGCTGCTACTGCTGCTGCAGCCGTTAAATGCTTCACAGCTGTCTTTGCCAAGAGCATCCGGTTCGGTAAAAACTCTATCCATTGCGTTGACACTTCTACTAACGCACCGGTAGTGAAACATCGTGTCGACAAAGTTGCCGAAGGCGCATCGACGGCGTCAAAGCCAAAGTGACTGAAAAGGAAGTACTCGATCCTCCCTTAATTATTTTCATACAACTCCCTTTTACTTACCCACATGACACCCACGTGGTATAAATGCAGATAGCTGCATACGTACGTACATGTACACGCTTTGAAACACACGGCTTGTAACCCGTAAGGCACGTTCTTTCGCAAGACTCGTATCGATCTTAAGCGTATTTTCGAACTTTACTTTGATCCAACACGCTACGACATTGCATTGCTAGGTCTACGTCGCCATTCATTGCCCTCAACGTCAACAAATGTCGACCAATGACTTCGCGCTGTCATCCAGATAATTGCAAGGCAGCTAAATGCTCGCTTACTGAGCCATCATTGGCTTAGCCGATGTCTTCCACCCACACGTGATTTCGGTGGGCTATAGCGCTTCAGCGACAGCCATTGTGACAGGATACGACGGCCTCAGGACGACACCGTGTGCTAATCGGCCATGAGTCTGTACGCTATAAATGGTAATGGTGGTTACGCTGAAACTGGTGGTACCTGCAGACCGGATCATAGAGCTTGCTCCTCACCGATGATCAGCATGGGTGGCGTAACAGTCCCAACTGCATCATGAGATCGCGCTGGAGCACTACACGTAGTGCAGTATTCATGTTGTGATTATGCTAAGGGTGTTGTAATCGTTGATGTTTTGACGAATGTCGCTTTTGGTGGCAACGTCCAACGCGCGGCCAGTCAATTAACGAATCTAATAGTTCCACCATGCGTTACTCGATGAGGTGGCCTTATTACTCTAACCATCGGCCTGAACTGAGTACCGCGCACCGTGAGGAGGGTCGGAAAAATGCGAAACACTGCTTTCTGATAACGAAACGCCGCTCTACATACTGTCGTCGTCGTTGTCATTATGATCATCATCAACAGCACTAGCTACAGCGCAAACTTGAACCAGTGGCCGAGACTACCAAGGAGCGGTTATAATCGAAAATCTTCTCAAAAATCACTCATTGATTTGCTGATGGTGTGACCGTTACTGATTGATTGTATCTCAATTAGTCTTTCTCTTGAGCAAATGCGTGAAGTCTTTATAAAACTTCACTTATATTATAATAGCAACTTATAATAAGTTGCTAGAATCGTCGCTGAAAGCCGTTCTTTTAGTGTCATCAGGTCGTGGTCAGACACTAGCGACGTATATGTCACTTTTGTCGTGGAATAAACGGCCAATGCTTTCATTGTCGCTCTGGTACGCTAAAGATTTTCCGTTTTTATGGAAGGCGAGAAACAAATTGTTCTATGGTCTGGTCAACAATACTTCCACAGTGCTTGCATTACTGCTAATTAAGTGGCGTCTTTAAACGTTTTATGTATTCGGTCTTTTTCTTCATTGGGTGTCGATGTCGGAAGTACCGTCCGTGTCTCATTCCTTCTGTCCTATGATAGCATTTATCCGGAGACCTTTGCACAACTTCGTTGTTCCATTCTTTTTGCGGATGCTATGATTGTCCTATACTGATGCTAATTCATGCTCGTTATGACTATCGTTACTATTGTTGGGCTTTTTTGATGTCAGCTTATCTTGATAATTGAAATTCGTGTGAAGGGGACAATAACGTTTTTGGACGCCCGGCTATCTATTCTGCGCCAGTTTCTTCTGTCGGTTGATACATTCCAGCTATGCTTTACGCTTTTAAGGCATTGATCTCGGTAGAATCGATAATAAATTTTGATAAAGTTTACTACAATTCACCATAGAGCTTACTACGAACGCAATCACGGTCATAAAATCAACATTTTTCAAAATGCGCGTAGTTCTGCTTTAGGCTGAGTTGAAACGCGTAGAAACGATTTACCATATCTATCCCAATTGACTACGAGGAGTTCAAAATACACAAGTTGTTCACGACATATTCGAAAGTGACCTTCTCCAATAAAGAAACGACATAGCCATCATTAATGGAGGCCCCTACATCCGTTAAGGATCGTGTTTGCCTGATCATAGAACTTCCGTTAGCACGACGGTAAAGAGGTATTCTTGTCCTGTGACCGAACTCCCATAATTAATAGCATGGATACTTAAGATTTAATGGCAGAAAGCAGTATCATTGAACGACTCCTCAATTCCTTTCAAACGTGTCTTTCTCTTTAGGGCATAGTAACGCGATATAGTGTTTTCCCTGACCATTTTGTCGTTATCATAAACTGTTCACACACACATTTGTAATATATTGTTTGATACATGTTATATATATCTATATAAGGCAAAAGAAAAAATCTTGTCTTTCACATTAAAAGAATTCCTCCACCGTGTTAATTTGCTAACGAACGTGCCGATGTCTATTCTATTAGTGAATGCTGCCCCGAAAAAGTCAAGAGAGGTTTGCAGTTTGGAATATTCTGGACTCACAGGATCAGTCAGAAAGGCTGCCTGTATAATGACAGAGAACGATACCTTTGCTAAGGGGAGTGATTATACTGGCTGTCTGTTCAGTCCTTCCAAACTTGTACCAGCAACGCTCGCGGACCGTACGATTACCGTACATTAGCAATACCGGGTAAGACGAAGGACATTGTTACTTTGTCCATCACCGTGTTCCATCTCCCACACAGGTTCCGCAGTTACTTAAAGCAACAGCAGCAACATCAGTAGCCTGCTCGCGTAATACTGACTAACCGGCCATTTAAATCGATTATGTATCACAATCCACTGTAGATTATCACAAATTCTTGGTAAATAGTTCACAGTTATCGAAAATCGTCCTTCATAGCGGTAGGCCCAGGTCGCAATCCATCGTGTTTCTTTTTGAAGCTTCCGAGACCAATTCATCCTAACACCTAAGTGCTTAATGTAGTTTGTCGTTTCCTTCAAAGCCAGTTCTTTGTAGTCAGTATATTTTGTTCCTATTTCTCATTGGTGTTATGATAATAATAATGATAATTATTATTATAAAACTACATTGGCTTCAAAAAGAAGACATACATAAAGATCGCGCGACATATCAGGAACAGAGCAAGATAAAAAATAGGTCGCTGAACGGACGATTTATTATGATAGCAGCGGTCACGATATTTATAATATATAATGCGGTATGGAGTTATCCATAGGATAACGAATGGCAGTACTCGTATGTGCCCGAATTGTCGATATTGGCCGAATGCAAACTCAATTGCTAACCCTAACTTTCATTCCACTGAACCTCTCGCGCAAATCCACTACTTGTTTCAGATAGGGCAGGTATACGATGCGCTCAAACACTACTAGGACGATCCACATATTTATTCGTGGTATGACGAGGAAAAATGAAAACCAGCTCTTTGCTTTTTTAGATCGAAAACAAGGGAAGTTCTAATGATTGTAATTGGCAGCTGAATGAACAGTTTTCAAAAAAGAAACCTACGTGAACTGTCTTGCTCTACGAGGATGTGTGTATGCATTACCACTTGCGTAATGTAACGGGGCTGGTTGTCACGACTAAGTGCCACAAGATTGTTGCCCGCTCTGTGTCACTTCCGTCGGAACTATATATATATATATACACTGACGACACTGTTAACCAATCGCTTTCCGTTGGTTGTCAACCGAATTATAAAATTGTGAAACGGAAATAGGAGCTCAAATCCTAGAAAATAGCCTGACTGCCTGCTGAGTTCGCTTGCCGTGTGCCTTTCCAACACGGATGCATGTGTCATTACTCGGGTTTTCATGAACTTTTTCCCGCGCCAATGCTGCACGTTCCGCTGACCAACTGCGGGGGACTGGCAAGCCTTAAGAGAACTGACCTTCACAGCATTTCCTGGCCTAACCTAGCTCACTGCCAGGGGCGGTTAGATGTTAGCTACTGCTCCAGACAGCAGTGCCGAACTAACGACTCGAATTGATGCTGGCAGTGAGTGCAAAATAATAGCAGAATCTGGTTAGAACCGTCGAATCCGTTATAAAACCGGTGAACGGAGATATGAAACAAATCAACCGCGCCGACTCGTCGTTCCGGAACAGGTGGATATTGCTGCCAACGCCCACTTTAGCCCTTCTTTCCCCATGCAACTAGGCAGAAATTCAGAGGAAAACTGCTCAAGCTTAATTGGAGTTGTGCTGAGGAGCTGTGGAAGAGCTCCATAGATGCGAGATCATCCTTCTAGTTTTTTGAAGAAACAAGTTTACCAGATTATACACAAGACCTGCTGGATGCTAGTGTTACGAATTGGAGGCACTGCAACAAAGAGGTTTCCCTCTCCAAGAACAGCGGGTACCATGTTAGTTTGCTTACTCCAAAGCTGCCTGAACGGGAACTAGACTATAACTCACGTCGCTGTAAGGAACTTGTTTCCGCTTCTCCACTGCTGCATTGACGCCCATGCTCATCTCTGATGTGTCGTCGGCTGTGTCGATGTAGGTAACAGCCTAGGGAGGTGTTGCAGACGAAGTGCTCGAATCCCCTTGAGGAGAGGCCATTAAAGGAAAGAAATCATAAACGAAAGGCAAAACGAGTAAGAGTGCGCCGAGGAAACAAATAGGTTTGGATAAGATTTTGGATAACTAACTTGAAATACAGGTGGAGACTGCTGAAAGCGGAAGAAGGGGATGTTGCTAAAGAAAATTGGGTTACGAGACGCAACTGAAAAAAGCACGCTCCACTACGACAAAAAGTAATATATTCAAGTAGGTTACACTTATAAGAAGTGAGCAAGCATATAAAAATGCTTTTGATCTATATTGCTGACCCATATTCTACAATGATTTTTCTGTTCGCTTTATGACTTGCAGAATGCCACGAGAGCAATGCGATTTCTGATTGAGCAGTTCGGATCGAGTAACGTCTACGGTCGGGAAAATTATGAATACTACGCCCGGATGACTGGCCGGGCTCTTCGAGTTGATGGAGGGTGGATTTTTGCTGATCGGTATGATGACTACAGTGCAGGATACCCCAGTCACGCACCCCACAAAACGCACCCATTTTTCAGGCAATGACAAGGCAAAAGACAAGAAAGAAACAGCGAGAGAAAAAGAAACCGAAAAAGAGAGACAGAAAAAGGCCATTTATTCGAATTTCGCTTCGTTCGGGTTTTCTATCGCCTTGTCGCGTCGCCTCACCAAAGAACAATTAGCAACATATGGCAAGAAGAGAAAGTACCAAGTACCCGCGCGTTATGGCGTTGCTCAGCGCCACTGTTGTTCCGAACAGCTGCCACCGGCGGTTGCTAATGCAAGTCTGGTAGGAATTGGCTCTGTGTTATTTGCCTCGTTTCAATATTGGAAAGTATTTATGAAGGCGTTATATAAAAGCAACGTCATACACATTTAGTGTTTACATCGCTTTGGCATAGAAAGTTTTTGACGTCCCCCCATCGAGCCTATGCTGGACAATAGGACCATGGAGAACAAAGCTAAGCTTTATTGGGAGATTAAGTTTATGGAAATCTTTGGTACTACTATTTATCTGATAGTGTCAATGAAACAGGCCTTCGTCACGTCTTCTAAAAATAATATAAATAAAATTATGCTAAACATATCCTTTAGACTTACAGCTCTCATTTCTGTCTTTGCCGACCGAAACTGGAATTGGCACAATACGCAAATTAAGCGATAGGAACCCAAGATGAAACAGGTCATTCTGGTAAAGTCGATTAACAGATTAATATATGGACGAAAACAAGCACTCTTCCCAGGTACATACACATTTGTGACGCGTTAACCGTAGTAATAGCGAAAAAAAGAATAGATGATAATATTTTATAACATCATTTTTCTATATGTGTCTGTGTTGCTTTTTTCACTCCGTCCCTACCGTACCCCTAGATATCCATTCGCAGTCCACGCAGATGCAGCGGCAATGCTCCTGGGCCGAGCGCCACCGTCGTTAGAGATTTCTGAGGCTCGTGGTGAAACTGCTGGCCTTTGCGATGAAGATCAGGTGGTTCCCCCTTGGTTACTACCCGGTTGCGGTGATGGAAGCGCTGGTGGGGCTGGTCTTTCTTCGTGCGCCTCCACACCTATCCTCAATCTGTCGGGGGTTTCGCAAGTAGGTTTCGTGTGCTAGCAACACCCCCACAACCACTGCTACTACTGCGAGGAACTATTGCTGCTTTGTTATTGTTGCTTATCCAAACCCAAATTACATATTAGTACTCTACAAAACTAGCCATAACAACAACTTGCACTGTTAAATGATCCACGAACACAACATGTGTCCCGTGAGTGCAGGAAGTTCTAGTTAGAGTTCAAGTCCTGCATGTCACTCCCAGCAAAAAACAATGTTGTGTAAAACATTGGAGATGTACAAGAGAATCACGTATACACACATACATGCATGTTCGTTGTTAACTTTGAGTATGAGTGGTTAGTAGAAAAACAAACACTTGTCTGGACTTTAGCAAAAAGCCAAATCGCGTCTCAGCAAAAAAATTCACTGCCAACTCAGCAGAATATGAGAAGAATGGCCTCTTCGACCCTCGTCCTCGGTTTTTGACTCTCGTTTACTCTGCGGTTGATATGAATAATTGATGAGCTTTTTTACATTGATACACAAAGGTCTCCCCGTCCTATAGAGCTCTAACATAATCATGGTGACGATTAATAAATCTCAATTAAAAATGCTTCTATCTTTGCTCTTACCATTTCTACGAAAGTCGAAAGATCAGGACGAAAGGCCTGTGTACTCTATTATGCTACTAAAAGCTAGCACGTTTGTTACTATTAAGGATTCTCTTATTTGGCCATTTCGGTCCCTCAAGCAGTGCTTTTAGGGACGAGACTAGACCATCTCATTCCAACAAAGACATCAAACAGAGACATTCTCGATCAACAGTACATAACTACAACATATCAAATACACAATGTAATAACAATTTATGCATATCTTCTTAACTGAACAGTCCATTATTTCGGTTTAGCTTCCGCCGAGTCATTGTACATATGTTTACTTTATGTAAATAATATAGGTTTGGTTTGGACACACGTGCAAGGTACGTTGCCTATGAACTAGGAAAGTCTCAAAGAGAAAACCAGTTCAGCTCGGATTATAAGCTTTACTCAGAGGTGATACCTGAAACTATTTTTTGTTAGCTATCAATTTTATATTAATCATAATACTAATGTATTTTATAACGAATAGATTTAGAGATCACATACATGGACTGTAACGACGTATGGGCGCGAATGGCTGCTGAATGGCGCCGAGTAATTAAGAAGAACTTGTTTAAGATGAGTTTCCTTGTCATAAACAACGTAATCATATGCCGTGCTATGATGTTCAGCTTAAGTACACTGAACCCCATTGACACCAACAATGTTCTTATTAATCATGGTCAGCATCATTTCCTGCCAACCTTGTGAGAATAATAATTATAAAGAGGGTTTAAACCAAATAGATTTTTCCTTTGTTTCTCTATGTACGCTAACGTTTGAGCTTATTTTTCATAAGTATAAGCAAATATAGGCTATGAATAGTCAGTACGTAACAACTTCCTAACACGATCTGTTTAAACAGAAGCAGATGCAAAGTCTGCATGGTTTGTTTTTTGCGTTCTAAATACAATAATAATATTGATTTTGCCAATAGAATTATAACAAACAATAATGTTACTCTGGCTGTTCCAATAGACAATACAAATCAGTCCGTTAAATAAAACCAAAAGTTGCAATTACTGCTTTCCTACAAAATTTGTCCACTAATGGATTTTCTCCTTGTTTTGTTTGGAACGCCAGCACGCTTTACTTTTTTGGTTAGCATTCTACAATGATTGTTTATATAATTGTACTATAAAATTAACGGAAAACTCTGCCAAGCCTTTATTGAGTCTGGAATCTATTAACTTTTCTCCCGTTCCGTATCAAGCCCAATACATGAATGTAAATCTTGACTGGAGAGTGTTTTTCCTCGTGGAAGTCAGATATGGGAGTTCCTCAAGCTCGCAATATCACAGTTTGGCATATTCATAGCATTTGGTAGAGCTGTAAATGATTGATATTTCATAGCCATCTTTTCAGTTACCGGAGTGATTCACACCATTAGATTTTAGCTGTATATTTATGGATAATTCCGCCTTCTTTCTATCTTCATATTAACGAAACCAGATACGCCTGTAGAAAGTCGAAATCTTTTGCTCATTACACAAACGTATACGCGACGTGAATCATTCACCTGATTACTGCTAATGGTGGCGGCACTAACATATATCGACATATGTTGAGTCTTTCAATTTTCTTTAGCCTCGTATATGTATATGGTGTAGCGGTTTTCTATATTTATTCGTTTGGTCTGTTATTATTGCGTCCGTCCGGCGTTCTTTTCCCTTCGTTTATGGATTAGTTTATCGTACCTACTAATTGTGAGCAGTGTTATTAGTTTATTTGTATACGTCTGTACAAGCGTGCGTTCTAACCAATGTGCTAACCGAAATCATCTCTCTCTCTCTCTCTCTCTCTCTCTCTATGTATATATATATTATTGATCTCCTTTTTACTGTTTCTGCTTTCCTATTTTTTTTCCTACTGTTACGACTACCTGTGTACCACTGATTCTACCCACCCCGATCATGACATCTACGAACTCTCCGTTCCCCTTTTGCAAATGATCTCTACAACTACGAACGCACTCAACAACATCTTCTATTGCGCATTATACCTGCTGACATTGCTACTATAATTGCTTTTACTATAATTGCTACTTCTACTGTTGCCTTCTGCTCTTCTGACGCTGGTATCACTATTGCGGTCGCTGCAACCTCGTCTGGCCTCTGCCTTCGGCCGTCTACCCTTCGCTTTGCGTGTGTCATCTTCGCAACCGCCGCTGCCGCCGCCGCCGCCGCTGGCGCGTGCAACTCACTCTTGGTCTGGCTTATTGATTCATTCTGGACGCGACCCGTGCAATACGGTCGTCTGCGCATCGTGTTGCTTGTCCGGTTTTCCTTACCTATCGTCTGTTCGATTTTGGCTTTCTACTTTCTATCAAACCGAGTCCCTTCCATCACTTTTCTATACTCTGTCTTTCTCCTCCTGTCCTTTTTACCTTTTGTTATTCTATTCCTTTCCATATCTTCAAACGTCGCTCTGTCTCCCCACTCTATGTATGAACTTGAAATATTCCCCACTCTCGTGCAACCTCTTTGCGCTTTACCTCGCCGCGCTGTTCCTGCTGTGCCTCCCTTCGTCGTGACCTTTCGTTGGATGTGGTACACTTCTTCCGATGTGTCGAACTTCGTCTGCTTCGTTAATGACTGCTTCTTCGTGGACCACTTCATCGGCAATCGTTGTTTCGACCACGCAGTACGAAGGCGGTGAAGTCGCGTGTTGTGGCAGGCTGTCTAGTTCGCTAGAGGACAATACGTTGTTACCACATTCGCTCGCGCTAAAGGCAGCATCTGCTGTCGCAGCAAGTCGTCACAACGGAACGTCTTCGGGTGTTGCCTGCTATATTAATCCTGGCTGGCGGACTGATCCCAACGGCGCTCGTTCACTATCGTGCATCTGCGAGTACCAGCAACAGCTGCAGGTACAGGGTGAGGCCGGCAACAACAACGGTGAATACGGAGCTGTCGGTACAGCAGGCGAAGCTCGATGGACGGAGTCTAGTTCATCGAAAAGACGCTCCGACCAGCTACAACCCCAACCTGCATATCCAGTGGGGAGTTCAACGAGTGCTGCCGCTGCCAACTTGTCGGGTCTGATACAAGATCATCTCCAACAGCATCCTACCGGGCCGTATAAATTTCATCATCATCAACCCGAACCTGATCACCGTTGCATGACCGTGCCGATGTCCACCGTTGAGCGATCCGTCGGTGTTACTTCCGGTGCTGTGGCTGATGCTGCGTATGATCATGGCGCCGCCATGATCCAACTGCTTCGTCGTGGCAAATGTAGTGACGCAGGAGGCCATGACGACCCGGGTCAAGACCACCAGCGCTTTGATGGAAATCATGATGGTAGTGCCGAGAACAATACCAATATTACTCGTAATGGCCGATTCGCCACTGCCCGCTGTCAGGACCAGTTAGCCGATGAGCCTGAGAATGCTTCAAGCAGACACGGCTGCATGCAGGTTCTCATCAAGGTTAGTTAGCTGGCTAGTTTGAATGAAACAATTACGAGAACAGAAACAACAAAACTTAATCAGTGCTACTTTATTCTGCACCCTGTACTCCATATACTAAAACTGAGCGAAATAGATTTATTGTTTATGGTAAAGACTTTACTTTAAAGATAGCGATAATACTGTTATTATTATTATTATTATATTATATACGGTAGTCGCAATCACTCGAAAGTGTTCGCGCGAAGTCCACGCATATTTCTCGCCAATTTGTGACTACCTTGTGAGAGCGGCTGTTGTTATGGCTTATTAGTCAGCTCCTCTTCATCAAACGTAACTTTAGTCTTCGTTACTATTGGTATCAAAGCGATTTAAACAGAATACTCTCCTAACAAAGCAAATTCAGTTTCTTTTCTGTTCAGCCGTCGATCGTCTTTTGGCCATAAATAAACTCTGCGTAAATTGCATGGTAAAAAGCTTGATTGCCGGCGTTTCCCACGACAATTCGAAATTACGATATAATAGAGGTTATTCAGCCGACTTCGGAAGCAGAATCGAATAACTAATCCGTGTGCAATTTCCATTTGTTGCAAAGTGATGGCCACTTCTCCTAATTCCTCAGATCCCTATGAAGTGAGATTTCCTCTAATGATTATGCGATTATCATACGGCTATAGATTGATAGCATGCTATGACATAGGGCTGGAAGTGTTGTTTGTTTAGCGCTACTGATTGATTGAACGGGTAGCAATTAATTAATATTTTGCTAGCATAAGGCAATTAAGAACGGCTAGTTGAGGAACGCTGTTTGAGACTGGTAATATTAGTAGTAGATAGTTGTTATGCCTAGCCTTTTGGAGTGAATAATAAGAATGAGGAAATGATAATGACAACAATAACCATAATAAATAGTAATCATAGCAGCCTAACAGGACAAAGACTTGCTGAGTATGACGTGTGCATAACCCATGTTCTAAGATTTTTCTCACAAATACGTACGGACGCACTAGCACATGTGGGTTAGGCAGGGAATATATGCTATTTGGGGGCACTGCAACTGCTCCTAACAAATGATTGTCTTTATCTCGGGCACATGAATAAATTGTCTTGATCATCCATCATGACCATATCGGAAAGGTTATTGCACACTATCAGGGTCTCCTATGTTTTTTGCGTTGACTGTTTTCGTCGGCGGGATTTGTAACCGTGTTGTTAACATGGCGGCTGTACCATTGGCTTGGATCGCTCGTTGCACACAGGGTTCACCTGCTAAGAAGCCCAACCTGATGATGCACTCGCAAGCGGTCACGGACGGTCTCTGCCCTGGCACAGAGGTGAGGGTGGTTCGGCGAGAGACTATCAAACGAGAATGTAAAGAGTATCGTGACAGCGGTCTGGAAACAACAAGCTTGCTTCTACAGACAAACCTGGTCGAGGCCTGGTTACCGATTGAGCACCTTCAGCGCGCTTCGGACGAAACGGCAAAACAAGTGAAGGACTCACCAGCCACTCACAAGTCGATGTCGTTCCTTCCTTTGGTGAGCAAAGTGGTTCTGGCCATTTACTTCTTGGATACAGACGGAATGATGGTGTATTAAACTGGGAAAGCACACAACGACCGTAGAATGATGCCGTCTTGATCTTTGAGATCTGATATGCCTTGGCTTGAGGCAGATCTGATGATTAGGGGTTGCTTTGGGCAGTCTTTGGTAGCCTAAAGAGAGATTCTTTTTTCTGATCGACAATATTCCATCGTTGAACTTCTGTTAACACTAAATTTCATCAGTTGAAACCCAATGCTGATGCAAAAGTTTCAGCAGGTAAGCTAAATAGTCTAATAGGTACTAATGATTTCAGCGTGACTTACCCTTGATTCTTGTAAATAGGAAAAACACGTTCTATCTTTGTAAATATGAATGAACGTAGCTTATAATTACAAAAATTAATCTGTCAAATCTACACTAATTCTAAATTCGATGTATTTCGTCCGTGCTACAATTACTGTACCATGTCACACGATTTTTATACTTGTTTCTTCCTAACGCTCAGGTCCACGAGCGCCAAACCGAACGAATGCGTACTCGTTCTGAGTGGTTCCTTAATCCGGGCCCGAGGCCAGAAACAACTAGCGCCGTCAATTTGGCCACTCCGGGCAACAGCTTAGCGGTAGGCAACAGCCCGACAAAGAATGCGCTTGCGCCGCCTAATCGGTTTCCTCTCACGGGTCTGAACACAGCATGTCGTACGGACGAAAATGTGTTTCTTGCAATCCCTAGCCTGGGTAACAGTTCTCGAACGCCGCTGGCTCCCCTGGGTACGCCCACCTTGCTCGGAGGTCCGAACTGCGCCCCACTAACTAATAGCAACGGGAACAACAACGCACATACCGTTGTCAACAGCTCCTTATCGACTTCTGCATTATCGATTCCTCTTTCTGGTTCGTTGCTCAACGTAGATCGATCATCGTCGACGAATTCGACATCCAGCAATTCGTCGGCGCCTGGTATTCAGCGAAAAACGTCCCTCAAAGTAAGTATTCTAAGAGAGAAAGAGAGAGAGAGAGAGCATTGAAACGGAATGGCAAATTCTGGCCATTGTCAGTTTCTATTTATTTGTACGCTCAGTAGTGTTACGTCTTCTAACAAATAGTGTGCAAGTTAGATAATTTGCAAAAGTTAGTTATTTACCTAAGGTAACGAAATGATGCTTTGCAATTTATAGATGACAAATGACGGAGAAAACAGGAGACGTATATAATGTAATGCTAATTTCCTGCCTCCCGTCTGTGTGTAACGCTATTTTCTTAATTACACCAAATCTCATTCATAGTATCGGTTCCATTGACCAAACTGCCGGTCATACCGACCTTTAGAATGATTTCTCTCATAATTCGTCCGCTTCATCTTACTTTCTCCTGTATTATAACAGCGTTCAAATTCACGTAAAAACAAAGAGAACTCTGCGTATGGTTCAGCCAAGCGGACTTCATCAGGAAGCACCATCTCTGCAGCGGTCGACGCCCAGAATGGCGCTTCTGAAGGAGCACAGCGGGCTGGATCCCCCGCAACAGGAGGAACCGGAGGTGTGGTTACGGAAAACGTCGCTAACATTTCCGGCGCCACGACAACGGCGCATGGCCAGTACAAGGCCTTTCTTTAGCTAGGAAAAAGATTACATTTACCATTATCATGATCACGGCGAAAGCCACTCTCAGTGGCCAAACCATTGTTGCAAAGTTTACTTTATTCATCAAAAAAAGGAAGTGATAGAAAACGTTAATTGACTATGATTTTTAGGCGATATTACGTGTCTGAAGAGGTTACAACCAATCCGACGTTCTATAATGTAGACGGTATAGAATTACACAAGATAAATACATTGACTGTAATTTAAGAATGGAACGAAGCAATTTCATTGCGTGTGCGTGTGTGTATAACTCGTGGGATAAGCCCACCTTTAAGTCTTTTTAAGAATAAATTTTTATTATACCAGCAGATATAGGTGCTGCATTCTCCGAGTCTTTGCTGTCGCCTGTGATTAATATGATGGTTTTTATTACTGTATTTTTTTAGTGGAATCGCAACAAATACTGTTGTTACGGCTATTATCAATATCGTCACAGGGATAATTATGATGAAGCTTTATAGCTACATATAAATATGACACAAACATCTGAAGTAATAGAGATCTGAAAAGATTGCCACACGATCACCATATATACATGCAGGCCTAAGCCATTCCTGAACGAATGGATTATTACAATTATTATTATGCTTACTCTTTTTATTTCTATGTTATTATTGCCAGAGTCAAAAACTCGCTGCTTTATAATGCCTGAATACCGGAAACAGCGCTTGATGAGGCAAATATTGTACTTTTATGTATATATCGATGATAGTAACTCGACAAGCGGTAACGAAGTACAACGCATATAGCGCTTGTATAATTAATGATGTACCCTACGTACACACAAACACCAACAAAAACAGTTCTCGAATATGCCAACAATCAATTGAAAGATAGAAATAGATTTGGTCTTCTTCAACGCTGAAAACGCAGACGTCGTAACAACACTGTACCGAATACCAGTGAAGAAAGTATTGCATTCGTTGATTTTTTGCAGGAAATGAAATGTCTGGTTTAAACAATAAGACGAAGCCTTCTCTACTCTTCGATGGGTATAAACTAGTACACTCATTATCATATACGGTGGAACTCTATTGCTGTTTTTTTATAGTTAAAATCGGTGTTTGCGGTGCTAAGAGCAGTTTTGGCAGAAGCGGTCAGAGTGCGAAGGTTTTTAAAAGCTTCCAAAACAGGAGGACTCATCAAAAGTGATTTGGTTGGTGCTTTTTGAAAAAGTAAAAAGCTATATGAAACAAATTGAAACTTTGAGAAGTAAGCAATGTCTTATTTACTCCAGCTTTTTCAGCAATGCCCTTAAATCATCGACAACCCGAGTAAGTTGTTTGGATTCGGGGGAATTCATGCAACCTTTTAAATCTCCTGATTCACTTTCAACGGCCCTCATAAAACTTCCTCAGTGCCACATGTTGAAATAATGTTACAGTTGACATCGTTTCACGGCGACCGTTCCTCACATACGCTGTGTGCGCCTATTCCTTTCGAGTGAAAACAACTGAAAACAGAACGCTAAAAGAAAAGGTATTTTTTTTAAATACACACATGTTTGTAGCGCGACGCCTTCGACAGTAGAATACAGTTTATAGCGAAATGCGGCTCTATGTCCAGGTGCTACCTTGTTGCCTTTTCACGTATGTAATATTGTCTTAGAGTTAATAGTATTAAAATTTGCAGACAAGGATAACCTCGCTAGATGAAAAATTGAGCTAAAAAAACCGGAATGCTAAAGCAGGAACTTGGCATTGAGTAGGCGACAGCTCTATCGAAGTATAGACAATAGATTAAACATACCGGAATGAATCATGAATCAGCAAAAGAGCAAGTATTGCTTATACTTAGTGAGCTCTATGGTCTATTATGACAGATTTAATGGTTATAACCAAATTGTAACTGCAAGTATATTTGATATATTTATATCTATACATCCACGCATTCGATTAATATGTTGACATATATTAAGCATATTCGTAGATAGTGATGCTCTTCTTTATCCAGTCTTGCGTTAATATGCAATGGAACATGCATACGACAAGCCCATCGTTCAAAGAGAACCCTCTGCATTGAACAAAGTTACGATAGGCAACAACGACAACAGTAATAGAGGTGAGACAACCGTAAATCGTCCATGACAGAAAATGGAAATTGTTAGTGACGCGTAATGTAAATGTGTCATTATTTTAGTGAAACGAAAATTCACTCAGCCCCAGTCATTATTCCGTTTTCTCTTATTACAGCATAGCTCTGGCCAGGAACAGACTCAAAATAAACTGGGATAGTTTAAAAATCATTCTGCTTACTTTAGGTTCAGTGACACGGCAGCCTAAAATGAGCTCTATGCTCTATGATGATAGATTTAATGACAGCCACCAAATTTACACTGCAGCCAAAAATACGACAGGCTTTTCTCCGTTGTGTCCTATAGCGCTGGCATCGGCGCAAAAACAAAACACAACAGAAGCGTAACCTTGATGTTATATTCCATGTATCATACTAAATGCAGTCAATCTATTTTCCTTAGACATATTATGGTACTAGTGTATGCCTCAGATCATGCCCAATTTTATAAGACGAAAGTGAACGTTTAGATCCCTAGATGCATGCAACCGTCTTGGTAGGTCGTCGAGCTGGAATGAAAAGATTCTGCTAGATGGGGTAGCCTTTATGATGCACCACCTGGAAAGCACAATGGACAAAAATCAAAATGATACACTCTCTACCTCAGCTTTATTTTTTCTATCAATTTTGGTACTATATGTGGTTTTGAATAGTTTTCAGAGAAACTGGTGGATGATTACTTGCGGTTGGGCACGCTTGCTGGCGCTTTTTGTCAGCTGCAATTCGCGCAAAAAAATCGCCACTTTCTTTTTAATCGCTAGAAATTCACGCGCATAATAAGATATTTACTAATAAATAGACATCAAAAACGCATCAACGTTCAAATTAGTAGGGCAAAATACATAAATAGAATCAAAAACAATTCACAAAATCCGTCAAATCGACGAAAAATGCCACTACAATATCGTGCTAAATATTGTATGTAGCCCGTATATATAGCTTAATATTCATTCTTCGTCTGTCCTTGGCCTACCTCAACCGACGACAGATGGTCGACTCGAAATAAAAATGTCGCTGTGACATCAAACGAAAGCCGACTTGAACCCTATGGGTGACCGCTCTAAATGTCGTTAACGATAGAAACAAGAACCGCAACGCCAACAATAAACACAAAACTCTATTGTACATGACGTATCGATGGTTGTACAAAGCCGCATTGCCAAAAAACGACAATACGTGACAGATAGATGTAATGGAAAGCGAATGATCTATTCCTGGTGACTTCAACGTAATCACTGTCGTGATTCATACATTATTAAAACTACTAAGATTTGCTATCCTTACCGCCACGTATATTTACATAGTGATGATGATATACGTTTTTGTCGGCAAAGATAAATCCGATCAATGCCGCTACTCGGTGCGGCTCTCTATTTGTGCCCACAAACTGGCGATAATGATCATGATTAATAATGCTGAGTGGACATAAAAGAAAAAAACTGCAAAGTCTTTTTCTACGATAGCCACGACCGTAGCCATCATTTAGTTAGGAGGATTCTGTGCGAATCCGAGATATTTAGCCGAATGTATGTGTTACCTACGCGGGTCACGAAAGACGCCATAGTCGCCGACAAATTTTGAAAATCAATGCTATTTGGAGGTTAGGTATAAAAACAAAAAGCAGATGGAGGAAAGCTGATATACATACATGGTTCATAAAGAACTTCACCTCAAAATTCTACCAGATACGCTTGAAGTCGACAAATCTAAGAAGACATTTATTCCTGATGAGGATCGAAAGCAAAGTACCATGATCTTTTACCGTGTACAGCAAGAAATTCGAAATTAATACGCAGATTTGATCAGCCGATAAAGTAGGCGGGGTGTTGGGTTCCGGCTGAGCATTGAGCAAATGGTCAAACTCTTTTAAGGTATATAATAATGACAATGATGATTAATATGATAGGGACGAAATGTGTGAATAGAGATTTGTTTGTTAATTCAATCCAGATATTGTTGATGGCGGTAATGATGATGGGATAGCAGAAAGGATTGAGAGATGAAAGCGACATGAGAATAGAGCGGGTTAAATAATGAAATAACAAAGCGAAATTATATTGAATGAGCATACGTCTGATATCTGTAACTGTATTCAACAACGGTGATTCAAATGAGAGATGATTCTTTATGATGAAGTAAATGATGAGATGGAAAAACAGAAGAGAGACAGGTAAATATAATCATGCTAACAAAAAATCAAAACTGGTTGTTTTCAATTAATATCTTATATATAGAAAGTTGTATAATATTTAATATACATCTGTAGACGTAGAAGACAACGGCATAAAACCTTTTTCAGCACCTAGTGGTTTTAAGCAGTAGAAACAAGGCGCCATTCAATTAAACCACGGGGTAATATCGTATTGCTAACTGCAAGCTGTGACAAATCATTATGGATGTTTAACCCTCACATGGTTAACATGCTGATAAGGAAAAAAGAATTGCCATTTGAAATGTTTTGCCTCCTTTGAATTTACTGACACTGCAGTAACAACCGGGTATATTCTACACATCCCTTCTCTCGGAACGACATTCCACTTTAAATGGTTACAATATCATTTATATGTAACATAGTATTGTCATTGGGAAATCACGATGGCTATTTGACCATAGCGAAACGGATAGATAGAGAAACGGATATTTCACTTCCTGATCACGTTCTTACTAACCTACTATCATAGTGTTCACATCGCCGTAATTTTCGTATTTTGTTTTCTGGTATACTAGCAAAATCTGTTCTGAATGGTCATTCGTTAGATAAAGATTAACTTAAAAAGATTAGGTAAAGATTACGATTAAAAAATGCATCTTCTTTTCTTACCAAATGAAAACGACGAATGTCTATTTTGGTGCCCGTTAAGCATAGGCCATATTTATTTTTTGCCTTCAACCATAATTATGTGATACCCGAACTTCGTCTTAACAGGGGGATCGGTATAAATCGGTTTCGCACACGTAGAATTTCGTAGGGCGAAGGCAGCATCCTGAAATGGTCCCACCATCGAACCTCGCGTCATCCAGCCGAGATCGCCGCCATGACGAGCCTACAAATTAAGTTTAAAGGCACGGAGAGTAACACCAAGTTTATAAAAGCAAGACACTGTTTTTACAGTGATAACTGAGTTCAGTGCTCTGTCATTTAGCTTAAGCTTCATGAAAAATCATTCCGTGCACGAAAAATTTTACACCTAACGGTTTTGCTCACATACCTTAGAACGTGAACCTCGGAATGCAAAAATTCCCACGTAAGAAACAACTAGAACAGTAACCTTGTATGGCTGCATGAGTGTGAATGTGGAAACGTAGGATTTAGTCCTTACCAAATTTGTCTAGTAAAAAAAAATCCTTAAAGCCGCTTTGCTTTCAAGTTAACTGCCTGTATTGAGGAATGAAATGAAGATTTACGAATAATTCTTGTTAGGAAGAAATAGTACAAAAAACGTATATGTTCTATATTTCGACTTCTATATTATCCCAGTTGAATGAACAATTAACGCGACGTAAAGTTCGAGGTTATAATGAACCGATAAACAGCGTATGTAAACACGTGCTGTGTTCATCAAGCAACTGCAACGGTTACTCTATTATCAAAAATTAATTACGATCACAAGAATGAAACGTAAAATCTAGTTTTTCCAGATAATACATCCGTTAGGGGCACCTCAGTTTCTCATTTTATCCCCTGGGGGTCATCTTAAGACGTCTACTTTGGCAGTTAAATCTAGAGTCGAAGCTGAAGAGCGTGCTGAAATCGAAAAATGTGACGAAGTCAAAGAAGACCATGTCCAGGATCAAAAAAGCTAAAGTTGATTTAGACAGAGCACTTTTCTATGCAAAACAAATCAACAAGCCACAGAATGTTTGAGCAGGCAGTGTTTACGAAGAAGCGCTCTGGGCCTTTGGATGTCGATGCTTGGAGACCGCTACGAATAACTCAGGAAAGAAGCTGATGGCGAAAATGAAGATGCCAGTATATAACATCCTTTGAAGCAATAAGTAGCTGGTTCAGTAACTTAAATTTGCCACGATTCTAGATACTTTTGACTGGTTGTGTTCCGCCTAGCTAAACGGTCTAGTAAACATAAAGGTAGTTTAAAGAATGGCAAGTTGGAGAAAAGTAGGTGACAGACAGGAGGTCACGTGTAGTACTTGGAATTTCACACAACGCACAAATAAATAGGCCTCAGACCACCTGTGTGTAAAGCAATCTATCTGGCTACTTAAATTCAGGTAAATTGACCGAGCGCTTTTCTGAAAAGCTCGAGTGTTTGAAGATTATGCTGCTCTATGCCCCACCGAATATGGGGTTACGACACTGCCGACGGTAGCAGGATGATATTAAATTAAATAAGTTAATGTAGACCACAATTTATTTTCGGTATCGCGTGTCGTCCTTGGAACAACATCGAATTAAAGGAAGTGCAGGATGAGGATCTAATGCATTTGTGTAACATAAATAGCGAAAAAATCAAATTTTTGAATAGTTCCAATAACTTTGCCTGACACAATCCTAATTGGATAACATACAAAAAATCATATTCGCATACTATATTAAACAAATTTTCACTGCAAAATACAATGAAGAGGGTTTTATTCTCAAATCTCAAGATCAATTAAGATTCAAATCAAGAAATCAAGCGTGGGACACTACTTCCAGTGCTGCATCGCTATCACCCCGCTATACCTTACCTTATCTTCGGAGAATGCTGCAGCAACCTTGTCAAATGATTCTCCAGCTTTAAGCTTTTCAATTGCTTCCAAAGCCTTTGATTGCTTTTCACACAGGATGTGTCGCACCTGCGAATCATAATTCATGCGAAATAAGTATGCACAACTGAGTAAAATGGTTCAGAAATTACGTTATTATATAATCTGAGGATTTCTCATATTCAAATCGAGCAAATAGGGATTATACAAGCGTTTTTTCCATATGTCAAGCACTACTGGAGTATATGAGCTCTAATGAAGTTTATCTCGTTTTCACGAAAGATCAAAGACTTCATGGTGAAAGTATATTTCGAATGTGCTGTTGGAACTTTTTAGAAATCTGATGTGGTGAAAAAAACGGTCTGCAATGCTTTATTACTTAACTTGTACACTAGCTGCTTTTACTGTTGTTACTCCTGTCGTAAGACAGAAGATGCGCAGCGTAAGGATGTTGATTTAGATTGTCAGTCGTTTGGAGTTAAAACGACAGCTGTATGCAAAGATATGCAGCAGGTCCACCTCTGACGTGCGATGACCTAAAACAGCAATTTCCAACTAGAGTCTCCCATGGCGAAGCTTCATTTGGAAGGTCTCTCTAGAGTGTGTTATTTTCGTTCTAATTTTTACGCGAAATACTACATGGCCAGCGTCGTAAACGAACCTAAACGTACCTATGCAAGAACATCTACATATCTGCTGTTTAAACAAATTTAAGATCCATAAAAATTTGATTGTTATTATTATTTCCAACTGGAAATTTTTGCCTGCATTGAAAAAATGCGCTGGTTTCATACTTCATTCACAGCTTTATGCTCATTGCATTGACGACTATTTATGACTAGCCAACGCGTGTCAACAAAAACAACCATAACATGTGTATTACGTGATAGCATTGCATTAACTAAATTGTGAGTGGATAATAATATTTGTAAAATAGAGACTGCGATTTGGGCAATTCGCATGTACGCTATGGCAGGTATTTGCCTACAAAAACCAAGGTGAATGAGTTAGGCCATAAACACAAAAAAAATAAGTAGGTTCGTCGCAAGCTTGCCAACTGTGACAACCGTTGACAAAAAATATGAAACTTAATCAAATAATAAACTTAGGATATTTCATACACGTAGCTGTTTAGTTGCCGTTACAGTTGGATTCGGTTTTCTATCGAACCACTGCCAAAACGTATAGAAAAAAAAAACCGGTTCGACGTAGCTCAGTTTTATTATTCCATACATCTAGAAACATATGTTTTGCGTAGTTAAATAAAGCTGATTAAAAGCATAGCATTATATATTGATATATACAGAGGAAATTATTATGCGGTTAGTTCAACGAAACGTCCCTGTCACACGCATGCTATTTAGCATATATTCAAGGATCATCGATTGCTGCTCTAAATGTGTCAAACGCTCGAGATGCCTTTCCGTGTAAGGTATAAGTCCTTCGCAATTCTCTTTCAGTCCGCTCAATTTCTCTAGAAGAACGGATGCTTTGGCTTTGCTCAAAATTTCCCGGCAGACCAACTGCGCCGCAAAACAGTGTCTAGCGTTTGTGTTCCATGTGACGCAAAATGTGATCAGAGTATTCGCCTGGAAGTCTTCGAGGCTAATCAATGCTTTGCGAAGCTTCTCCGGCCCGTTATCATCATACAAGATCGCCTTGATAATATTAAGCGTACGTTGGGGATGCTCAAGATTCAAGGCCAACTTAAGCGCCTTCGACCAATTACGCTGCTGCATCAAATTCATCAGTGTCTGTTCTTCGAGAAGTAGTTTTTCATGTTTCTCGAGCGCGGCTTCCTTCTCTTTTAGGGTAAAGTCCTTCCATACGTTAATGGTTGAGTCGGCCGCTCCCGACACAAAGGTCATTTCGTCCTCGGACGCGACCAGTGCCCATATTCGACCATCGTGACCGTCGAATGTGGCCGCACAATCGTTGGTTCGGATAGTCCAGATTTTAAGATTTCCATCTGCACCTGCCGTCAATAGCTGTTGGCTCTCAGCAATAAAGAGCACCCGCAAAACCGAGCACTCGTGACCTTCGAATGTCCGCAGACATGTCAGCTCGTCAACGGACCACAACTTCACAGTGGTATCGGTTGAAGACGACGCTATAATTGGTTCATGCGAAGAGAAGCAGACGCTCCAAATGCCACGTCGGTGTCCCCTCAACACACCTACCTGGGACAAATCACTACTGTTCCATAGCTTCACAGACTTATCCTGTGATCCGGTTGCAATGATAGCGTCATTCCAACTAATATCGATCGACATAATATCTTTATCGTGCGCTTTAACGGTATGTTCGCATGTCATCTTGCTGCTATCGAGATTATATAGCCAGAGCTTCAACGTGGTATCTTCACCACCAGATACCACTTGAAGATTACCTTTAGGATCGGCCTTCAGTTTGGAAACAGCCACTGCACCGACCGAATGACTATGGCCAGCTCCCTTTGCTACGCTTTTCATCTCTCCTCGTTGACAACTCCACACGCGCACTTCATGATCCTTGCTTCCCGATACAAGCAGATTTGGGTAAGCTTTAGCCACAGCCATGCAGAGCACACTGTCGGTATGACCTTTCAGCAGCGATGTATGGCTGCTATCGCGGTCCATAACCTTGATGAATGGCGAATTCGTACAAATTGCCAAAAGTCGTTCGTCGCTACCAATTAGCGCGAGATCGAAAATTTGGTCATTATTTCCAATTAGCCGTTTCGTTGCTTCCATCGTTTCGGAATCGTAAAATACGATGTTTTGCTCATACGTCACGACCGCCATAAGGCCCTTGGCGCGGTTAAACATGCCCTTTACGACAACAGTGTCTGTTTCAGACGCTAATACCGCGGCTTGTTCGCCGGGTTGTTCTTTGACGCATTTGCCACTTGCGGCATGCCACACTCTCAGGATGCCTCGGTTTCCCACGGTAACAAAATGGTCCTCCGAGAAACCAGCATCTCCTGCTTTCAGTAGGAGTAGATTTTCGACACACTCATACACAGGAATGCTACGAATCTTCTGAGCTTCCTCAAGATCCCACAGTACCACGACCTTGTCCCGAGAGGAAGTCAGAGCCTTCTTACTGTCAATAAACTGCAGATCGGTAATCACCGAAGTGTGTGCATCTAGTCGTTGAACAAGCGCCGAATCCTTCAAACTCCAGCAGAACAGACTTCCATCATGGCTCGTTGCCCCATAAAGCAAATGCTTTTTCGGGTGAAAGCGCAGTACTGTGAATAGACCTGACGCACCTTTAAAGTTGTGTGTGCAGTATTTCGAGACCACGTCCCACACTTTAAGAGCTCCGTCAGTACTGCCCGACGCAAGAAGACGGCTATTGACGTCGAACTCCAGTTGAACGATGGGTGTCTTTAGCATAGCTCGCCAGTTTCGTTGCACTTCAACACCCGATTCTTTCCAGTTAAACTGTCGCAACAAATCTTTCTTTGAGGCTACAATGAGCAACTGATCGTCCGGTGAGATGGTTACCGCAGTGATGTCCTCTTCTATGCCCAGCTCAAAAGTTTTTTCCACTTTACCATCTTCGACGTTTAGCTGATTGAGTGCCGAGCCGGCTTGGCAAAAAAGCTTTTCTCCATTAAAACTCCACAGCACTGTGCCGCCAGAATAGAACGCGCCAATCCTGCGTTCCACACGCAAAACTTCTTTTAAAGTGGCCTTCGACATATTTGCACACTGGCAGAGTCATTCGAGTTAACTAACGCAATCAATTGTTACAGCAGAATGAACAGCAGTAGTTATGCGCGTTCGACCAAACACACGACGGTCAAAATTAGCACAAACCCATCCCAAAGCCACCGTCATCGGGCACACGTGCCCGCTATAAACCAAACAAAACTATGAATGAACGCATCACCGAGAACGGTCATCTGTGAGAGAAACCGCCTGCAGATTGTTTGGAGAAACAGCGCCACGCTTAAAGGCCAAACACGAAGAATAAGCCGGCTGGGGTTTACTGATCACAGTGTTTAATCTACATCGTGCTACAGAGTAGTTCAACCTGTCAAATAATAAATTTCACTAGGCGTTTTCTCAGTATCTTGGCGTTTTTCTGTGGATCCACGAATCTCTACTAGTAATGTGTTTCAAACCAAACCAAAATGCCACAAAATGTATATGTTCATCTTTTTCATTACAAACTAGACCTCACGCATACCTTGACAGCCGTACCGCCGGATTCTCCCTTCTCTTTTTTCTGGTCATCTCTCTTATCAGTACCTCCTTTGGCGCCTCCCGCACCTTTTTTCGGGGCCATTGTTGATTCCGGCTTAAGGTTAATAAATGTCGAATCGATAAACTTGATGGAGCGGTAATCGTTTGTAACACACAACACGCCACCGGAATACTTGTTGCTGCAAACAGTCTCAGTCGTTTCGTTTGTCAAGGAGCACTGGCCGCTTAGGGTGCCGCCATTTGTCTCTAAACGCATTTTTGTTTTTACAATCGCAGCGCCAGTCCTGTATAACCAGACCTGCCAGACACTTAAAAACACTTGAAACAGAGTGTAGTACTGAAACGGAACGAGTGAAAGCGTTCTATGAATGGAAACTCAGAAAGTATACGGGGTGGTCCCGTGCAGAATCGTCCGCTAGAGGGAAAATAGAAGGAAAAAGGGATGGTGCTGCCCGACATTTAAGCATGGATGTTTCGGAGCAATAAAATCATTGCAAACATAAAAAACAACTAATTATGTAAATGGGCTTTACTGCTCTTGGATAATTCTTATCGTCGTTGTGATCTGCATAAGCGCATTGCTTATATGCACCTTCTTGCAACCGAAATAATAAACCCAGTGTGCGCGTTCTTCTCAGCGCAATGACCAGCCAGTGTCTAGGTTTAAGTAACTGAGCGTAGTGAAACTCTGTTTGGGGGGCAGTCGTCTACTGAGTGAGTCGTGAACAGATAAAGAGACCTGGTCCTCAAGAACACGGATGTTTATGCCACAGTGACATCTGACCGTACCTGGTTCCGTTCCAAGACAAGAGCTGGTGTTCTATTTTATTACGCTGTTTTCTATGGGAACGCCATTTCTGTCAGCGGGCGCCAGAATGCTCAATTGGCGATAACCCGTGTAGCTGGAGCGCGGCTAGCGTTCGTCTACGGAGTCCCTTGTGAACAACAGCAGCAGCAGCAACGCTCAGTGTGCGCGCATCCTTTCCACAACGTCGAACATCGACAAGCCGCAGTGCGGTAGTCCTGTAAAGTCTTGTGCTTCTTTGTGGTGCCTCTGGTGAGTGCTACGTCGCTATGTGTTTCTCTCATATAACCATGACGTTCGGGAAGTTTAGCAGGAAACGTCTGTGTTTGTGACGTGCGTGTGTTTGGGTGACGGAAAAATAGGCGAAAGTGCACTGGAAGAGGGTCTAGTGTTTTGGTGTAGTTAGGTGGAACTTGTATACAAGTTTTGCTTAGAAATAAGTGCAAGCACAGCAGACAGATATTCGAAGCAGAGAAATTAGTCCAACCTGTTTGAGAACAGACTAAGAAAACATGAGTCAAGAATGTAAGTCCATTTACTATATCGTGTTTACCTTCCTACTGTTGTTAACTTCTTTGTTAGCTGATAGCCTGTTATATGCCGAGGTCGTAAGGTGACAACTTTTTTGTTCTATATTTCGGAAATACCCGTCCTCTACTAGAAAGACGTGGCCAGACAGATTATATTATAAGAATAAAATTATTCAATAGTAACCTGTAGGATTATAGAGGCTTTTTCATCTTAATTTAAATGTGTTGGTTATGTACGTAAGTAAGGGCCTCCCGGTCAGTTTAAAGTGACTAGTGCAAGTGTGAAACGCGTCAGCTCGAAAGGCAGGACACGAAAAGCGTGAAAATAACACTGCTGACGGCGGCGTAGTTGATATTGAAGACGCCTAAAGCGCATAGGTGTCGAGGTAATTGGCTGAGTCATCTCGAAGTTGAGCTGTAAGACGCATACGTCAGAGATACGTGTAGATGGAACAAATTTAAACAGTTCTTAGTGAGTCGTTGGACCTGTTACGCGCTGACTACGTTGTGCGATCACCCCGCTTGTCCATTTGGGCTTAGTCCAGATTTTCGTACCGTAGAACCGCCGTATTTAGATTACCATATGACTGTTTCATGACCGATGAAATTTTCGCAACAAAAACTAGTGCTCATTCATTCGTTTTTTGATCAGCTGAGTCGACTTTGTATCTGGCAGTATTCTTTGTTTGGTGTAAACTTGCTAACGACGAGCTTCACCTTGAACTCTGACTGATACTGGTTCCTGATTACTACTGCTACTACAACTATTAGGATCATGGTGCAGAACCGGTGCACTGAATCATCTTGTGTCGGTGGTGGATCGGCTGCGGGGTTCGTCAATGAATCCGTCAATTCTCACCAGAGAGTAACCACTGCGGCGTCTAGCGTTTTTAACGCGTTCGGTGATGTGGCTCCTTCAACCTTGTGTGCCTGCCAAAGAAAACGACAGCAAAAGTCTGCCCAGACCACTTCTGACCAAAGCAATAACGGTTCCGTTTCAGCAGCGATGTTTCATACGGGTCTGGTCGTGATCGCTTCTCCAGTGCGACAGATACTCCGTCAGGTGGCACCATTTTTGCGCGAGGCTCGACAAGTTGTCGATCACACATTGTACATTCGTCTTGAGCCCAATTACCAGTGGCCCCAAAGAAAGCAGATGCTGACTGGGGGCGAAGTATCCCTTCTTCGTAGTATCATACCGAGGATCTACGGCGAGGTTGGTTATTTCCTCCTTTTAATTTATGAGGCTATTATTTGCTAAATTCGAGTATATGGTTGAACTGCACTCGCATAGTTCAAGAGTCGAACAGATATGTCTAGGAAAAACAAACAGTAGCAGAAGTTAGAATCTAACCTTTTTTGTAACTCCGGTATAACCTAAAAGCTGAGGCTGGTTGCTATTTATTCAGTGCCGTTTTATGCGTTGGGAAGAGGCATTTCTACGCTCAAAACCTTGTCACCATTTAGTTAGAGCGATTCTCTATATACAGCGTATTAAAGAACGCGATCAATCATTGTTCTTTTTGGTGACAGCTGATGAGGTAGCCATGCTCTTGTAGAATATAAACAATCATATAATATTCAACTATACTAGCGTTGTAATCCGATTTTTAGCTAAAATGAATGTATAAGCATTAACCACGATACCACCAGTGGGGACCTTGGTACTAGACAACTTACAATCAAAATTTTAACCGGAGTTCAGAAAAATACATAACCAATATGTGTATTTTCGTGTGTTTTCTTTAGGCCGCCCGTGAATGTAGCCATCTTGACGTTCGGGTACTGCAGAGCTTTTTGAAGAATGTGGAGATACGCGAGACGTCGCTAGAGAAAAAAATTGAAGTTGTGATTGCTCACAAACAGCTCAGTAGGTTACTGGAATTACTTTTTTAACCTGTTTTGTTTTCCCTGTAATCAAATTACTGGCGAAAATTCTAGATTAAGATAAGTTGGCGTCGCTATAGGCTAAAACATCTAGATCGAATTGTTATAAGACTCAGCGACTTCAATCTGTGACACGGCACATAGAAAGATCTGTCAGTTCAGTGCTTGGCGTATTATTTTGGATGATTACTTTTTTGTTGATAACAATATTCGGAAGGGGCCATTTGCGGGATTTTTATTTTATATAAAGCGTTTTGCTAATATGCAATTGCTACCGCTGTCTTAAACAATTATTAACCGCTGACCTCACCTCAATTCGTCCTGCTCGTCAATACACGTCTTTTTGTAAGTTAAAAAAAGCTCAATATTTTTACCTGCAGTTGTAAAAGCAATGCCACCCTTTAAATCATCATACGCACGCATTCTATTTTAGCATTAAAATTGCACCCAGTGAAATGAGCTGCCGTTTCAATAACATGTAGTTTTAATTATTTTTAAATGCCTTAGTAGTATACTGGCAATATTCATATAAGAAGGAGCTGTGTATCCATATATAAATCTATACCGGTTGACCGTACAATCGGCACCGCTCAACCTAATGAAATTCGCTTACGAAAAGTGATCTGAAACATGGATTGCGTAATTAAAGCTTTTACCTGTACAGCTTTTACCGGTACAATACATGGTGAATACAAAATATTACGATCCTATTTTCGAGAAACTGTATTCTTTCTCATAGGTCCTACAAATAAATCAGAAGTCCAGGGCTTTTTTTTTTTTTTTTTTTTTTTCTATTTCGCTCCATGTTCAGTTGCTCAGTCCATTGCGGTAGAAATTCTAGAAAATCCTCAAATGAACCGTAATAAAAAGCGTGCAGCAGGTAAGTGTGATTTTTGGTGCCCACCTTTTTAAACACGTGATATTACGCGTTTTTGAAATAATTAGGTGCCTCATAGCATCACCAGTTAGTAGTAGTTAAGGCTCTGCAATTCATTGTGGCCTCGGTCTGCCAGTTTGTTCAAAAAATAATAGGTTCTTTTTATGCAATATCAAAAGTCTCTTATCTACCTCTACAATAAAACCGCTTCAACAGTCCTTGAGGTATCAATCACATCCACATATGGAGAGATCTTTGAAGCATACTTGTGTACCTACGTCTTTCTCTGTGTATAAATGTGAACGACTTGGGAAGTTACGTTGCCGCCACAGTGGGACAGCACGTTGCTTTGAGACACTGGTTTCTATATCAAGACCTTTGTATTGCCGACTGTGCTTCCTGCAATATATAAACTCCTTCGAGCATCCTGACTTTCCAGTTTCCAGTTGACGTTAATTCTTCGCTGATCCAGTTCACGTCAGAGCTTTAAGGAGCGCGATCTAATCGATCCGGCAAATCACCAGTGACAGTTATCTTTCTCCGCCCGTCTATCCCACAAACACTTATATATATATATAACAAACGGGACAAATACACACGCAGACGTAACGCTTACTTTAATAAGTAACGATGTCATTATCATTGATACGCGAGTAGTTATATGAATGCCTGTAGAGTAATCTAAATTATGCTCTTCGGCGCACGGAACGCAACGACTTCGATTGTTAAATTATCAAACGAAAGCGCTACCTTGTTTGCCCCCAATGTCAGACACCGAATGTATAAATATCTATCTATATTGGTCAACTCGGTGACAGCGTTGGACGCTGGAAAAAGCCGCTGTGGTCTAATTGAGACTAATCAATAATTGAGCGCTCATTGTCCTCCGAACCTATATATTGATCAATCATGCTTTCAGCTTCTCTATCATACGATCCGAAAAATTATGTTTTACAAAGCGGCGTTTCGGGGGACATAGTAAAGTTGTGTAAAAGAACGGACACCCTTTTTTCAACATCGCTCTGAAGTAGGAGTTTCGCGTCACATAAAAAAACATCACAAACCGCTCTCACCTTCGCTGAAAACACATGTATTTCGTAGTATCAACGAAAGTTGTTAGTCCGTTATCATTGATGACACGCACGAGAATACCAGTCGTCCCAATTTAAATCAATAACAAAAACGTTACTGGGTTCAATTATTAACTAAAACGAATTATCAGTTACCTCTTGAAACCATATCAAAACGCAAAATGATATGTTATTAAATAATAATAAAAACAATGACAATATTACGCCAAATATCGAAACACTCATCCGTAAAAACTCACAGTCTTACACTTCGTTAGCAGGCCTGGCGGTAGAGATTATAATAATTGGGTATGATCCTGGTGTTGTGATCGATAGTGGAAAATAATATGGCGAAGAAGTCGCGCTATGAGTATCCCGCATGGGCAATGAGGCTAAAAAAAACTGCTTTTTCGTCTAGATGATTACTGTGTGCGTGCAGAAGTTTCATCTTGTTCACGATCCTACGGGAAGAATGGTTGGGAAGAATGGCTGGTGATTTTCCAGGATTCTCTGCGAACGATGTCTGCGAATCTACCAATGATGACTTCGTGCTTCCCGGTACGCTGTGATATTTTTGCAGTAGTGATGTCCATGTTGACTGGCTCTTGGCGTATTCGAAGAACACCTTCGGTTACCATTAACATCGTGAATTGTAGTTCCGTAAAAGTGAAATGGATAAATTGTGAACAGAGACGTGTGAACAGGGTGCCAGCTGTAGAGCAGTTACATGAGACAAACATGGTTCTGTTCACAAACGTGTCAGCAGGGAATAAATCTGATAGAAATTTCACCCATGGACCACTGTGATCATGCAGGTAGTGGCTGAGTATCATTCTGTTTTCTGTTGTCGTCACAATATTCTGATAGTGGCGATAGCAGTAATATTAGGCCATGAGCGAGAGAAAAGCAGGCCGCATTTACAGCTAATACAATATTCTAAATTGTTTTCGGAATTTAGCCTGAGAGTATAAACATGTTATTAACTTGAAAATTAATCGAAGTAGAACTGCAACAACGTAACATTGAGAGAATATAGTTATGAGCTTAGCTTTAAAGTGAGAGCTACCATTGCAGGATTTATTTTGTGTGAATACGATACAGTATATAATATATTTTTCGATAAATCTAGCTGTCTGTCTCATTTTTTTGAAATCTACTTTGGTATGGTGGCACTGAAAGGGGATTACTCATTGACAGCAAGCTATTTTAGATATTTAAATCGAGAGATCGAACTGCAATCATATCATATGGTAATGTAACGTCTAAAACGAATCTGTCATTGCGGTGTATTTGAATTCCTTTTAAAGGATAAGGCGAAATACATTATTAATAGACTTTGCAGCACAATGCGCAAAACTTCCCCCTAAAAATACTGGTTTTCTTCAGAAACAAATTTATTTTAATAGATTTTTTGCTAACAAGGCTAATACAATTTGCCTTTTTTGCATTGCCTAGATAACCTCGATTCTTATGTCAAGCACCAATTCGACGTCTCACCGAAAGTTCATTTATTCGAGCCGCCGGTTACAGTCTCTACGGAAACAAACTCCGACGGCGGCGAACCTTTGGATGAGAAGAATACGGTGACGTTCTCTAGCGTTTGTCTCGGCGGGACTTTTGATCGACTGCATCTTGGACACAAAGCTTTACTCAGCTCGGCTGTCTCAATAGCTACAGAGAAACTTGTCGTTGGTGTAACTGATGGCGACATGATCAAAAGTGCGTACAAGTATCTCTCCCTAATTATGACATCGGCACGTTCCTCACAAGCAATTATTGTCACTCATGGCTAAGTAATCATTCGTTTGATTGCCATCTGTTATATTTATATGTGCAATTTCATTTTAATTTCGATCGATAATCTCAGCTCTTGATTGAGTTGCGCTGAAAAATGTCGCTTCTAACTTTCGACGATGATTTGTCTTCGGGATGATTTTTTAATAATAGACAAACTATTGTGGGAACTCATTGAGCCATTAAATGTACGGATTGAGGCGCTACGTTGCTGTCTTCAGGACATGGACCCTTCGCTTAAATACGAAATTGAGTCCATAAGTGATCCGTATGGACCAACTGTGCGCGATGCCTCCCTGCAGTGTCTTTACGTGTCGGACGAGACCGTTAAAGGCGGACTAATGATTAACGAGGAGCGCGCTAAAAGGGTATTAGTCACAGATATATTGCTAATAGATTATGCTATCTGACTCGGAAGCATTATCAGCCATTGATACAATAGAATATTTTGGCTTTCGAAGGCTTGATGGAAGGCTAATTTCTATTTGTCATGCTGTCAATTTTTACTTCATATATGAGTATTACAGTCTCTCATTGACGCATCTTATAGTAGTTTGCGATATAATTTATCGTGTTGCTTTTGTTTCGCTCAGAATTTTCAGCCGATGACACTATACAATGTGTCTCTTGTGAAGAACTTCAACAAAACCGAAGAGTTTATGGATGACAAAATCTCTTCTTCGTCGCGACGAATCGCCCTTTTAGGAAAGGTATATAATATATTTTCTTAGAAGGTACCATATAAGAATATATAGTTTATGGTTATATAATTATAAAAATCTCTTAGAAGGCAATCAAAACGTTTCGCCTCTCGCTAATACGAACCGTACGACCCAGAAAAATGCAATAACGACAAACTATATATTCTTATATGGTACCAATACTCTTATATATATATATATAATATATATATATATATATATATATAAGATTTCCCATTTTGTTTAACGTGAACGTTTTTATTGCTAAGACTGCACCCACTTTCAAGCGATTAATAAGGTCATCCTGACTACATGACAAACCTAATACCAGCTCAACATACAACATCGCCGGATAATTCTAACATGTTCTATTCTTGCAATTGTTAAAGGTTTTGCGCAAGCCAGCGCGAAACTTGTCGATTCCTGCCCAACCGTACGTGATTGGTTTAACCGGTGGAATTTGTTCGGGGAAAAGCTACATTACAAAGATACTTGAGGGTCTGGGTGTGGCATGCATTTCAGCAGACCTCACGGGGCATGAGGCATACGCCGCCGGAACGGGTGTGTAGCTCCCTTGTACTGAAAGCGCCGTTCCTCACACTCCGTTATTACCATCCTATATTTTGTCGCTCGTTGAGTCTCATTATACATTCTTTTTCAACAAGTACGAGCCACGCTTTGGATGATGTTATTTTCTAAGTTGCGCTAAACCGTTTATTTAGTTGAACGAGTCCATATCTATTAGACACAGAAAACAGAATTAAAGGTAGTGCGTCTTCGTAGAACACACGTGTGCCTAATCTGTTTGCTAAGTTACTTCGTTTGAATTGCTCTTATCTCAAAGCGTGGCAGATTCTGTACTTGTCCAGAGGCATACAATGGACATGAAACACGTGAGCAGTAAAGGATTAATATGACTTGCTATCTATGCATAGTGCAGATAACGTATTGAACTATACCGGGGTCATCAGCACAGTTGACTTGAATGAATCGCAAATATTTTGTCAAATATAAAATCTCTCCAATAAAATAATTATTATTATTATTATCGAAAAAAGTAAAAACATAGGGTATTTGGTAAGTCACACAGCCTGCAATAGACATACCGTATGAAATCTTCTTTCAAAATCGTAGAAAAACTTGCGTAGAGTTAATTTTCCTAAATATTTTGTGACTAACGTGCCGTGACTTTCCGAGCACTCGTCACATTGCGTCACATTAACAAATCATTACTATGGAAGAGATTGTGGAAACGTGCGGAGGAGGAATAGGTCATCGATGTCCTAAGCAAATTGTGATAACCCTAAATGGTATACTTCAGTTTCTAGAACAAATGATTCATGGATTATGATGACATGCGTCCAATAATCTATTTTTCGTTTGCTAGAATTAAATCAAGAATTGGTGGATACTTTTGGTTATGAAATTCGTGCGGAGGATGGGTCAATAAACCGCAAGGCTCTAGGAGCGATTATTTTCTCGGACGCATCGAAAAGACAGAGGCTCAACGAACTCGTATGGCCGGAGATTAAAAGGTTGCTACAAATTAAGGTAATGCACACTTTTTAGCAGATGACTAAATAAAGACATCGGGTAAAATCAATGAAACGAATGACTTACAATATTAGCAATATTACCTTGACGCGCGTAGTGTTTTCCTTGCAGATGATTAGTACTACTATTTTTTTTAAATCACCAATTACAGATTACAGATGTTACCAGAAAGAAGGATACAGTGTTGTCGTTTAATCCTTCTAAAGTCACACAGGTGCTTCATATTTCAAGCATAAGCATTTTAATGCATATTAAACTGACACTGGACACATGCAAAGGAGTGCGTAGAGATGTTGTATCCGCAATATGGCACTGCCGAATCAGCGTTAATTTTTCATCACCGAATTATGTTTTCATAGGTTAAAAAGGCCGCTGAAATGGGTGCTCGTGTGGTGTGCATCGAAGCAGCCCTATTGTTCGAAGGCGGTTGGGACAACCTTGTTCATTGTGTCTGGTATTCGGTAATTTCCGAGAAAGAGGCAATTGCTCGGGTCATGAAAAGGTCTGTTTCTGCGACAGTTTTTACATTCATCTTCTTGTAAGTTACACGCGTTACTGCTTTACTTGTGAAATAACAGGAAGTTCACTAAGGCCTTTACTTGGCAGTTTAGCCGTTAAGTTACATTTGGTTCGGTTCTTTAGCGCGAACATGAACTTATAAAAAGTGCTCCTTTGAAACATAGAACCGGATTTATTGATTAATGCCACTTTCTACTCGATAACAGGACCAGGTTTTATAATCGTGTTATGAATAATTGGCACAAATTTGAGAATCATGATATACTGCAGACGATAATATTGCGTCGATATTGTTTGAAATGCTATTTTCAGAGACAAGTGTGACGCAGAGATGGCGATGAGAAAGGTTCGATCACAAAAGCCTGCCAAGATGTTTATGGATCGATCACACGTTGTGCTCTCTACTATGTGGAAAGATGAGGTGACTCAAGCACAGGTAGAGCGAGCCTACCAAGAAATCCAGAAGTACATCCAGAAATAGGCAAAAACGGCACGCACAGCACATGTAGAGTCAAAGAACTGGTTTTCCACAAAAACAAGCAGAGAGACTCTGGCAACATTAGGGTACAGCAGCAGTTCTTGGTGACCGGTGTTTTCAAACTTTATTAATAAAAAAAAGTACATATATATGTGTGTGTGTGTGATTTTTTGTTTAAATCTACACATTGGCTTTTCTCTGTTGAAGTACGGGTAGGTACGTTTGTAGAAACAAACAAATGTCTTGTTGCTAACAAAATCACGAATAATAAGTAGACTACTCTTATAAAAAACAATAAAAAATAAGCCATGGCACAGACGTTTCGGAGAAAACTTTTAAAATCCGATTCTCTGAACAAATCTGATGATAAAAAATGATACGGAGAGTCCTTGTTGATGACAGAACAACGAATGAATCGGTACATTTTCAATTCTTTTTTTAGAGTTGAGTCGCTTTATAATTGCCATTAATGTGCAAATAATTACTGAAAATATTTTTGTTCATTAGAGGAAAGCTTTGCTTGAAGGATAATATCCGTTCCAAATGCACTTCGCTAAAATAGTTCCGACTGTTTGTTGGTGTGAGATTACGGAAATTCTCAGAAGACCGTTAAACAGCTTTTTTTATTTGTCGATTTTTCCTGTAAAGTAGACACATTCATGAGGTAAACACGACCTAATCTGTGATATGAGGATTAGAATTAATTTAAAAGGTACGTGAAAAATTATTGTTTCATCTCACTGACAGCAGCAACTTCATCGTTCCATTTCCTAAACAACGCTGAAGAAGAGATTAGGAATGTAGGTAAGAGCAGCTCTAAGCGATGCTGTGAAAGAGTCTGCCTGATGAACGGTGTTTACCTAAAAAGGAGCAGTTTACCTAAAAAAAAAAAAAAAGTTAAGTAGACGGCAGCCGATTCGAACCGTATTACGGAATATAGTAAAATGCGTCCCAAGTGTTTTCAGTTTATTAGCCATCATATTATCTCTAATTAATTTGCTGGAGATAATTTGCATGTATATACAAATATAATATAAAAAAAAAGTAGAGGTCGCCGCTCTGTTGGGTCAAAGTGGATCGAATGGAAAACGAAGCACAACCCTGATTACGAATAGACAACGTAGTGAGTTTGTATGAGTGGTGTGAATATTTTTCCATGGATAAAATACTTTATCCACAGAACATAGGTACTTAAGGATGAAGTACTTTATCCCTTATAGCAAGATTGTATTACACAGAATAGCTAAAAATGCATCTGCTCTATCATCGGATCGGGTGCTATCATCGTATTGCGTGCAATTAAAGGGAACAACGCAAAAGAGAGAGAGAGAGAGAGAGAGAGAGAGCGAGAGAAATTTACAAAGCCTCAATTTCAACAGAGACATAAAAATTACTAGTTATTTCGGTAGTGAATGACTACAAAAATATTATATATAATGAATATATAAGTAATTATGTTGTTTGAACAACTGACATACTGTAGGGACGTATAGACATATCGAAAACTTTTAAAAGCATTTAGAATGCCGTGTATGAGGCTACATACCAGTACAGGAATAAAATAAAAAATGCGAAGCGTGTGATTACTTTTTCTGTTTTTCTATTGAATATTAGACCATCATTGTACTACATGTACTTTTCTTTTAGATGTTTTTGTGGTTGTAATCTTCATGAAAACCGTCGAACGGGACGGATGGACAAATACTATAAACATGGTTATAAATTATGTGGTTTTAATCATAAGAATAACAAGCAAATAATTATATCATATTTACTGTCATTACTAACCGAAACGATGCAGCTATGATATATTTATAAAAGAAAAATAAATTTCTCCCTACCTCGTTGAGAATTATCATTTCGCACGGTATTATTATATCAGTAAACAGACCTGTTTTTATTTTGTACTAAGTTTAAGCTGTCATTTTCCTATTTCCTGTTAGATTGTCTATTTCGTTGAGCAGAAACTCTTCTGGACAATCTACATTGGATTTTTATGTGTTTCTTACCGCAATATGATTCACACTTCTATCTGGCGGCACATTTTTTGCCATCGAGTTGAAGTTATTTCAAATGCGGTCTGAATAATTATAATTCGTATTTATGCTATATAACATCTTACAGTATGACATGGTTCTTTCCAGTTTGTGATTTCTATGTTTTTCTTTTTCTATTTTCTATATTTCTTTTCGCAAAAGGCAAAGGTCACAAGAATAAAATAACCTCTATAATTCTAATAACTTGAAATTAAAAAACTGCAAAAGGGTAGAGTCTCAGGTCCAACGCTTCGACCGGGCTGCGAGCGGACGCGCATTCACGGGTGCGATCCCACTACTAGCTGACGCGAACTCTTTTGCTTGCTGTGTTTCCACCCTGAGCCAATTCGAGCCTCCTTAGACGACCTGTCCGAGCACTGGTTCCCCACACTCGGGCATATCGACGCCAACCTTAGTGCGGACACTCGGTCAACATGCCCGGCTCCGTACGCAGTACCCCCGAGCTGACATCGTCCCCTTGACCAGCCTCCCTATAGCAGGATTACAGGGTTTGCTACGACCCCGGCGACGGTGACAACACCATTTGTCGAAGGCAAGGCGGGAGCGCTTACTTAGCTGTTGCTACCGTGATCGCATATGGAGTCGTGTGAATATTGCAACAAAACAATGACCATATGGAAGAACACAACAAAATTCCGCGAGGTGCTCGCGTGTTAACGCTGGCTTAATTAAGGATTTAGTGGTGGCAAAATCCTTAGTGATGAATTATTTATGTAAATGGCGAACAAATTGAGTCTGTATTGGTGGATTTTATTTGCTTTCTCAACTATGCAGTTCCAGGAATAAAATCATTTCATAAACAATGTATCATAGGTATAAACAGTGCATCAATAGGCATATTATTTTTTAATTAGGCGTTGATATTGCTTATAAAATTTGGGTTCTCATAATCTCATGTTTATACATACGTGCTCCTAAATTGGTCTCTTTGATACATTACATAGGTTTAAATATAGTATAACCCAAGTACAGAGTTTGCAATGCCATGTGACAAAATTTGCTTGTTTAAGAAACCAACCTTAGGGAATTTTAAATTGTCAAAAAAATATATTAGGAAATTTCAAGAGGTAACCTTGGAATTTGCGGGCGATTCATCTACCGTCCTCATCTATCATTAACGGCCAACAGTTGTTTTTTCAGTCCTTTCTTCTATCAGAAAAGGACAAAAGATGGCATGTTATCAAATATCTCTTATTATTGCTGGAATATATTTTTAGGCAAATCACAATACATCGAACGGTTACGCCCCAGATTACAGAAAGTAATTTCTACTGAAGAAATAACTTCCGCTAAGGTTTAACTACATAATTTACTCACATGAAGGAAAACGAAGTACGAACGCTGTGAAATACAATAGAATTTCATTATTTGATTAGGTGTTGATCTATATAATAATACTGCTTAATTATTGCATTAAAATTGGCTTGCACATCATAAAATGATTAGTTTATTTCAAATACTAAAAGAAAAAAACGAACGAATCAATATTAACACCCATACTGGTCAAAATACCTTAGTTTTTTATGCTTTCTCATTTATGTTTCTCTTCAAGAATTTCGATACGCAGTAATTTTAGTTGTTCTGCTTCCGTTGCGCGTTCGGATATGGTCGTGATCTTTCTTCGTCCAAGCAAGGTCGAGGAAACAGGCGGATGTTTAATAAACATTTACAAGGTCACGATGCTCCATAATTACACCTAAGCGCATATCAACTTGACCCCGTTTCCTTTCACATACAGCCGATCTTCGAAAAAACAAATCTGATGTACAAAAATCAAAAAAGAAACCATTAATAGATGTAAAAAGGTTATGCCAGTTATACGAGGATTCATCTTTGCAGTATGTTAGCGTCACATCGGCCGCATTGAAAACGTAACGCAACAAAAGTGTTGAAACGTAAAAGATAGAAAATCTAAGGGTAGGGTTCCTGGTCTAATGTTTAGGTCGAGCTGTGTGTGGACGACCATTTATGGATGCGATCCCACTAGTGATTGACGCGGGCCTTTTTGTGTTTTCAACCCTCAACCGATGCGACCCTCGTCAGCAAGAATGTCCCCGAGCGCAAGAATGTCGACGGCCACCTTAGTGCTTTATTGTTTTTTTTTTTAATTTAATTTTATTTATTTTTTTTTTGCTTTATTTGCATCCAGTTAACGTGCTCAGGTCCACCCGCAGTGCCCTCGACCTAACACCATCCCTTCAACCAGCCTCCCAGAAGCAGATTTACACAGCGTGCCACTGCTCCGGCGATGGGCCAACTGCAATACGTTGACGTTATCGCTTTGAACTATATATTAACATCGTACAAGCAATAATATCAACAATAGTGTTGGTGTCTGTGATGGAGGGTCATAAACATCATCGAAAAACGCCGAAATAAGCGATATGTTGGCTGCCTTTAGATCGGTGAGTACCGATTGCAGTTAACAAAACGAGATTGGCAGCGCATACCGTGTGAAATTTGAAGAATTTTTTTGAATAAAAAGAACCTATATGCTGAGTAAAGTTTCGCGAAAAATTACATTGAGCAATCGGGGAAGATCAAAAAATTGAAGCAAAGCCCATTACAGCTGTAAGAGCAGACGCAAAGTCTGGCCAGCGGTTGCCATGGTTACTCAGCATCAGTCACTAGGAAACGAAGGGAACAAATCTGACGGACCGTATTTTGTATTCTTATTCAGACTACGATCCGAAGTAAGTTTGATCTAGAACGGCGGTTTAGTCAGCGATATTTATGTGGAGCACAGATCTCAAAATAAATTAATATAATTTGGTAGATAGCCTATACTTTATCCAGTAGCTTGATGTTCCAACTGCTCGGTAAGGCTGAACAGTCAGGTGAATAGTCGGCGTAATAGTTCGAAAACCGTACATAATTCTATTTACTTTGTAAAACTTAAGTGAACCTAAGCTAAGTTGAGAAAAAAAATCGGTTCAGAACGAACAAATCCTAAAGAAAATTTCTGTCAGATGTTTCCGCTACAGATTGATTCATGAGATATGCGGTGTGTCCCTAAGCAGGTTAGTGTTGACTAAATATATGAAGGAGTATAGGTGGCATTAACTACATGCCTAAGTTCGCATTTATTCTAATAATATGTATATCTATACTAATAAAATGTTTACAGAGTAATGTTCTATAGGCATAAGAAAAACTGCCTGCAATAAAAAGATATATATCTAACGTATATTTATCGCATTTCATTTAAAATTTAAGGCCGCTCTCTGATTTCATTGCAGGAACTCTTAATGGTCACTGAAATATTAAATACCGAAGTCTTCTTACTGGACGAAGCTTTGCTTTAGACCTACATTGTGTTGCATTGTAAAATTGACTAACATATTTCGAACGGTCTGCAATCAAGTCGCCTGTGAAAGCAGGTTATTATCAAACATCCGCGTATTTAAAAAATACGTGCCTATTCCGATATATCTATGCTATACACTTGTCCTGCTTTAACTATCACATACAAAAATGCCAGGTCTAATCGCAGTTGGATAGTCGTGTTTCTGATTTAAATTTTTATTTAAATTTAATATTATCCTAGAACTAGTTCACCGAAATCTGACTAGTTGGCATAGAGGTCTGTTTGTTTCTTGCAAAGAACTTTTAGGAAAGAACGTGCGTGTTCCATAGACTATATACGTAAACGACTTGGGCATTCACGTTTCATCATTAATGCCACCCACCTAACGATCGGCCCATTGCAAAGCCTATGAAGGCTTATGAAAATGGTTTCTTGTGATACCCATGAGTGAGTTTTTGAGCCTACTTAGCCAAACCAAATCCAAGTTAAATTAAGTAAATGATACATTGTTGACTCTATTTCGCACTATCATGAATTACTCTACTCTATTGTAATTTTCGGTTTTTAGAAGCTTGTATCTTGCTGGATTTCGCGAAGCTCACTTGCGTTTCCTTTAAAAGTTAAGGATAAAGTCGTAGTTCTTTGTCTGTCGTCGTAAGCCCACTCTTGCATGGAAATCCAAGGAAGTCAATGTTAGTTAGCGCAGTACGTGCATTTGTCTGGTGAACTTGTGGTGGTCGAAGTTCGAATCCGAAGCTAGACACGATTTCTTCGCGTTGAAAATTAGAACTCTGGACGCAAAACGGCGATTAAATTGAAGCACTTAATTCAGTTTCCAACACTCTTTTAAGGGGATCGAGGGCGAATGGGCTTTGTAGACCACATTGCACAATCGTGGTTTTTGTTTGGTGCTGTGGGGCTCCCACCCACTAAACCCTGAGCCGCAATGTTAAACCTTGATTCGGAACTTGCCATTAAAGGGTATCCAAGGAGCATGAAGACACTACTAAATTCATGATGGACCTGAAGCTACCTATTCCCTCCAGTTCACTTTAGAAATAAAACGGCAGAGAATAAGGTTTCTTGATTTAATTACTTCGATACAAATTGAAGGCATGAAATGCACAGTGAGACTGAAAGCATAAATCGTAATAAAAACCGAAAGTTCTAGCTACTCCTTCTACGCGACGCAAAACAGCAAGGAAATATCAATATATTCAGTTCGATAAGCCTATGCAAATTATACATTGTACGTTGTCAGCTATCAATTGCAATTGTCCTTCAGGCTAAACCAAAGCTTCATTAAGCTTTTTACCATTGACTTGCATGTTATACGTCTCAGAATAAATGGTTTTCGACGTGTTCAAAATCAAGCTTGCTTTACCAACGTGGCTCTATAAGCCTCCGAGGAAGTGTGGTTCATTTGAATCAAACAGATTGATATTGAAGTTTGAAGTTCAAGTGCTTCATCCGTACAGGTTGCAGCGCAACGTATTTGCAAATATAACGGATTCGTACGCGCTGAATAAACGACATGAATCGTAGTTGTTTTTTATTTTTGATAAATAGAATTATTCTGTAAATTTGGACATCACCGCTAAGTCGAAAGCGAAACACACTCACACATATTATGTTTAACATAAGCATTATACTTTATTTATGAGAACACATGAGATTATCTTACACTCAATGGGTTCCATTGTGTTTTCCATATGACTTTTCACTCTTCCCCTTCGAATCAGCTTTCTGTATGTTTATTTATTCTTCCATTTGTGACCTAACTCTGTAATCGCTTTTATTTCCCTTTCGATTTTATATTTCTGGTCATTGGCTGTTCGTGTGATTCTCCGAATTTCCTATTACGTTTTCCACATTTTCACTACGGGTAAATCTTGTCGCGCAGTTGTTCGCTTGCGATCTCCCTTTGTCCTTCCTACACCCCGAAGCACTTTTTCCTGAATATTTTCCGTGCTTTAACCATCGCCACTGTCGCGTGCTATAACGCATCAGTAGTTTTACTCTACTCTTTTGAAGAAGTCACCCGACAGAAGTGCTTTTGCGCCTTTAAAAACGACCAATGTGGCTGTATTTGGCTCTGTCGTTCTTTTCTCCGCGTCATTGATCGTTCGCTCTCAATTGGCCTAATTGAATTGATCTTTGCTTCCGCCCCACCAATTTTCGCGCTCGAAACGTTACGTTGCTCATCTTGCTGTCGTCTTCTTTCGTGTATCCTTTATGGTATAATTATAAAACTATCGAACTTATTCCGCCGCTTAATCGCTGCTGACATCGACTTCCGCGTCCACATTTGATGTGCGACACTGCCGAACAGTCGAAGCTGTCATCAGAAGGTGCGAAGACTTTTTCCCTCAAATCACCGTCAAAAAACTCTGCGAGACCTGAGGCCCTACAAACGGAGTGGCTGGAGACAGCGATTCCGACGAGGAAACAGACGTGTTTGACACGGAGCTAGGTCTCCATGAGGAGTGCTCCCCGCGGGTTACAGCACACAAGAATAAGAAGACGAAGACAAGATGTCTTTCTTGTGAATGAAGTCGTTTGTATGAATTTCAATGTGTGTGTACGTGCGTGTATGTGTATGTAGGGCTGAAGGAGTTACGATCGAAGATGGAGGTAAGCCATCCTTCACCCGCCTTGTTACCATTAGCCCTAAGTTTCTGTTATTAGACTCACTGTTATCTCTCGCTCCTATTGGCTTAGCTAAATAAAGTTTTTAATTAGCCTTATGCTTTTCATCATAGTGGTATTAAGATTATTGTCGTCATCATTAGTCGTTATCATTGATGGTAATGTTAATTATATATTCAGTATTAATGATGTATGGTTGAGTCATTCATTCATGTACATAGTTTTACATAGCAGATCAGAGAACTAGTGGCATTAGGGTGTCTTTCGCGCATCTTAGGTCTTCGAGGCGGAAGGATCTCCCTGTCCTATTCCAGGACTTCGCTAGGCTTTTCCCTATTATAAGGGGTAATTACTTAGAGCATATCCTTCATGGCAGCCCGCTGATCAAGCCCTTGATAGAGACTTCTGCTTGGCATTTTTTCCGTTTTTCAGCCCTCGTTTAGCCCTGCAGTCATCAATTCAAAGTCCGCAAATTTCCGGGAGAGCTTCTGACTAGAATTGCAAGGACCCCTTGGGCCCACCTCCGTCTTGATTAACTCCCTCCCCCTCCCCCCGGCAAACGGAGAAGTAAACTTGTAGATCGCTTTTTTTTTTGCTGTATTTGTGTACATATTATAAAAACTAAATGTTTCCCTGGACCGGTATGACATTGAATTATTTCTTTTTCTTTATTTCGTGCCAAAATTGTCAGCTTTGTTTATCCTTCAATAAAAACCATTTGTCTTCTTCTTATCCGGTCTTTCTGCCTATGTTTCACCTAACTGATGAGATTTTCTTTTATAGAGTTGTTTTTTGTATGCAAGTAATAAAAGCACGTCAGTACGCGTTTCGTATCTGCTTTCGATAGAAAGCTTCCCTTCTCCCCTTCGCCCTCCCCGTCCTCTTTTATTTTATATTTCTTCACATCTCATTCATCATGTACACAGTCACCATTGTTATTTACGTGATTGAGAACGGTCGGCCGTGCGCGGAGAACGCGTACAAAATCGAAGACGTTATTTACTCGAATCAATTGTTTCTAAAAAAAAACCAGGCATCGCTCCGTTTAGAGCTGGCGATGAGGTGTATTTAAAAATTGGCAACACTCCGCAACCTCGACCTAATCTTGTCTCAGCACTATGTTCCGTTCTCCATATGAATTTTCTTTCTCTCT